AAAATCTTGAAAAACTATACAAGATGATAATGATTGTATTCAGTGTGTGGAAATGAGTGGGGATTCACCAGTTCACGTTCACGAACTCCGTTCAAATGAGCGAAAGAACTGTTCAAAAGTTCTTTTCGAGCTAACTGAACTTTTCGAATAGTTCGTTTTGAACGAGCTGGTCGTTTGAACGAGCAAGGTCTATTCATAGGGACAACCAGGACCTGTCAATGCCTATTCATACAGTTTTTTCAAAATCTATTTGTAATACTGAAAAAATCTTGAAAAACTATACGAGATGCAATGATTGTATTAAGTGTGTGGAAATGAGGTACTGAGGGTGTGTTCACTTCATTGGAATAATTTTTTTACACAGCGATCCAAACAAAAATAAAAATATACAGTATGATGTAAAATTTCACGGTCGTTCAGAATATGTTGTTACTTTAAAAAAATATGTTCTTTTGGTAACAATATCCTCAAAATATCGAGGAAAACTTGTTTTTTCAAGGGGTATAGAGAAGCAGAATGAAACAATGACAAATACTTCTTAATTATTGTATTTAATAAGAAATTCATAATCCACAATTTGATTCTAAAGATGTTCTGTTTTGCTCATAGTACTTATTCGTAAGCATAAAATGCATACGTGGGTAAACTAAGCTACAAATATGCTAAACAGTTAAAATGTGTAGTTTACAAATATAATGTAAATTCCGACGCAAAAAATATTTTACAAACACCAAATATCCAAAACACACTTCTTCTAATAAACATAAATTTTAGATGTGAAATATGACGTTAAATGACAAAAATTATAATAATGAATATATTGGAAAAAGTATAATGCGAACCAGCTTCAGTGGAAAAGATATAACTCATAGAAGATAACGTTCGCGGATCTCCTTTCTGAACATTCTTTTGCATAGGCATAATAGCAAATTTGTATGAAGTAGTTACTCAGAGTCAAAAGATCAAGTGAATTGAAAATGAACATTATCGGTTATTTTTGTTTACTGGAAGTTTCTCTTGCGATGATCCAACGAATTGTTCACAAGTTCACAAGCAATGTGGTATGATCAGAATGTGCTGGATTTATAATTCTAGGTAAGAAGCTCTATTGGAGACATTAGAAAGACAGTCGCTTAAAAGAATAATTAAAAATTAAGAAGACGGCATTTCATTTATTCTGCGTGGGATTAAACCTGGACCATCAGGATCTTTTTCCCTACCGTTCCAGTGCATGGGAAAATTCACGTGTGCATAGGTCACTTCTACGCTTTTCAAAGCATGGATCCACATGGGAACCCATGTTAAGACACGCATGGATATGCTTCTCGAATAACGCGTGCCATCTGGTTTCGATGCATGTTAATGCCTGGAAGTTAAGTAGCCAGCGTAAATATACATCAGAGTCCATGCGTTGGAATTCGATGAGCATATCCATGCGCGTCTTGACATGGGTTCCCATGTGGATTGCCGCATTGACAGAGTACTTCCATGCATTAAAACGTATGAAGTGGCTTATTCAGACATGGTAATGCATGATATCCAGGATTTCCACACGTGGAAGGGGCTGGACAACGAATCCCACGGGTGATGAGCGCCTGGAAAAGCAAAAATTTTCCACAGGGGCAGGTCGATGTTACCAAAAAGAACATCGGATAAAAAGAAACATGTCAATGGAAAACAAATAAGATTTCTGTTGAATCATTTGTCAATTCTTCATCAAAGATTCGTAGCCGAGGCAGGTAACAACTGTCACTATTCCACATTTACACGTTATGTGCCTGATTTTGTGGTGAAACCGAGTATCAATGATTGGGGCACTTGCCATTGTGCTTCTTGATTTTCATTTTTTAGAGAAAATTTCAGCAATTTTTCAATGTAAAATTCAACAAAACTCAGAGTAGTCGGATAGATTTACCAAGTACACCATTCGATTCAGTTTGAGACACTTATTCCGAATACGATATTTGTATTGCATAAAAGGTGAGTCCTGATGAATAAAATTGAGAATACTGGCAGAATTTCGATTTTTGCGCTCCTGATCCAAAAAATATGAGCTTTCTCAATGACAAAGCAAGACGAAAAAAGCAAAATGTACTTCTAAAGCTCGTTTGATGGTGGTTAAATGAAGTGCAGAAATTGGCTTCATCTCTTCAAAGAAAAAACTAGATTGTTGTGCAAAATTGTTTCCGAACTTTTTATAGGGGATGAGTCTAAGACTGATTGTGTTTTTCTTTTTCTATCTTCGTATAATATATCGTTCGATTTTGCTTTGTCCGAAGATCAAGAATATCATTCTAATTTTTACAAAAGGTCGTAACGAAAATGAGAAAAATCAATTTTAAGACCAAAACGATCAATAACGTATACGAGGCTTTTTCAACGTTGAGTTTTTTTCTTATTAATATAGCCGGTCTCGAAGACTCAAATTATGTTGCTAGATATACCCAAGCCAAACATCTCTGTAGACAGAACTTAGATCTTAAGCATGATCAAGCGCCCAATTTGCGCAACGTGCATCTAGATATTTGACCCAAAAAATCGTGTTAACTAGTATCGATCTGCCTTAAAATCGTGAAAATCAAGTTGACAGAATATAGAGTAATTTTATACTGAGTGTAGTGAACAAAATTTTTCAAACTTAGAAGCAATATCAATTGTATATCTCATATATGAACATCATATCATTCTTTTTCGTTCTCTGCTTTTATTTAGAAAAATATCTCTTGTTCACTCTCTATCGTTTCTCACTTTTGTTTTTTCATTTTTTCGAATATATGTATCGAAATATAGAAAGTGCCTGAAGCGATTCAAGCGGTAACAATTTGAAGGCATCCCTAAGTTAGCTCAAGGTACACATTGTCTGAAATTTTCATCAAGGTTGAATATTCCTGGAGGAAAATGGGTTTCTGAGTGGGGCGGAGATCCTTAAAGAAATGAATATCTTATGCGTGTTAATTTTCTAGAATGTCGATTTTATGTACTTCTTTTTAGAGTTCTTCAAACTTTCATAATTCCTGGTAGCTGTTTGTCTCGAATTTATAGCTTTTAAATATCTATTTATTTTCCATATATAGTGGTGGAAAGAGGAGATCAGATGTGCACGTTTTACAACTCCATAATAATCTCTATCAAAGAAACTTTTTGGCTGTGACATAGTTTTTATTTTATTTTATTTTATTAAATATACTGATAAAATAGAATATTCTACTAGGCAAATAAACTGAGTAATATAAGACATTAGAGTAACAAAAGAAAGTGTAATTGCACAATAACAGTAGAACAATTTGATAATCATATATAAAGGACGACGCTTAAGCGAAAATTTTGCGCGTACACTCCCATCATCTGCATTACAACAATATTCGGCAATAATGAGTTTATCATCACGTAAAAGATATAATGCCTTCTTCGTAGATTCTTGAGTTTTTAATTCAGCATTATCCGGCTTTAACATCATTCTTCAACGACATTGACCATCTAGAACTCTCCATACTTATCACATTCCAAAGAACTATTATCTCTTGTTTCAAAAATAATTCCTGGTGCCTATTAATGTTTCTTTTGTGAATATCACCTTTCGGAATTTTTATACCATATAAAACAGCTTAGGTATTATTTTAGAATAAAAAATGCTTTGAAGCAAGGTATAAAACGACTGATTGCCGTCAGACAGGTGTGTTTTTGGCTTCGATATAATTACTACGAGCTAATTCATACGTATATCATCATCCTAAGACGTGCTAATTTGTTTTTTGAATGTTTTTTTTAAAATTTTCTGCAGTGGAATGCACTGAAGTATCTGATCGGAGAAATATTATTATCAACATCTGTCAAATTGTGAATGTGACTTGTTTTCCTTGCTAAGACTTCACAACCGTTTCTTACGTGTTTATTAGTTGTCTCTAAGGCTTCTTCTGACAACTAACATAACTCAATGTTATTGTTCCGATGAATTAACTCCGCAGAATATAAAGTCAGATTGTGGATCCAATTAACAACACAGTACTGTATATTACCTGTAATTAATTAGCGCAATTCATGTTTTCATTGGATTATATATAAGAATTAATAATAAATAATATATAGACAAAAAAACTGAATATAATGAAGAAGGAAAGAAACGTTTAATATGTTTTTTCTTTTATACAAACATCAAAGAGAAGATCTTGATATTCTATGATTGTTCTGTTTTATCCGATTATAATTTTGACGGCTTCCCGAACATTGATTGTTCGATAAAATGGTACTGAACCGCCAAGTTTAGTAAAAGGAAAATATACAATTATACTCTCTGATCAATCAATAATAACACATTCTTTTGTACACATATCAGTCATTATTCATATATAAAAATAACAAAAGTAGCAGCAGCATAATCTGTGACATACTCACCTATCTTGAGAATCTTGAAAATCTTAAATTTGATGTTATTGAATTAGAAGCAGACAAATTATTATTGTTAAATTTTTTCTTTGAATATAGAATCTTTGAATATAAGTCATATCATATAAAATCAAGATACAAAAAAGTCATCAAATAGAGTAATTGCAACATCACAAAGTGAAGGTAACGCGTGACATCATTACGACAACTTTCTGGATTAGGACTGAAACCTGTCCTATACGAGTAAAAATAAATTACGTTTCAACTTTCATTGTCGATTTAATTGTGCTTTTGCAAGACGAATATACTTTTCCAAAGATAGAACTTCTGAATGATCTGGTGTTAGAGATTTGATAAAAATTTCGCGTGCTTTCAAAGAATTCTCAAGGGCTTATTCAATATCCCCTTTTCTACCACACATTATTCCCATAGTTGAATACGTGATACCGAAACAACGATAATTTGCTGGAAAGTGTTGTCGACCAATTTCCAATATTTCTTCATAGTATTCTAAAGCATACCAAATAAACTACTTCTTAAAAAGCTTTATGCCACCTCAATCAGAAAGACAAACGCCCAAAAAAGAAAAATGATTCAATTCGACCATTAGAAACCGAACATTATAGTCGTCGACTGTAGCTGTTTAGCATTTATTTAACAAGCCATTAGAAATTTCTAAGCAAACATAGCAAGAAAAACATAAATCAAATTCAATATTTCTCAACTAGTGTAAACACTTCAACTTCAAAACAAAAAAAACGCGCACAGTCTGCAAATGTTTTATTACCTTTTCCTGTTAAATCCAAATAAGCGCGTGGAAAATACGTGCAGCTCGACTGATCTACACCATAGAAAATACAAAGATCACTGCCGTCCGAGTTAACAGTCCCAAATGTCGGACCACATGACGGACTATGTCGAACGGCATAGCGAACACAGTCCTCTTTAACTGGGTATTTAGTTGGTGGAATTCCATGAGGATTTTCTAGTGTGAATAAAAATGCATGCGGATCTACTTTATCACTTCGCTCCGACGTCCAAGGTATGGAAGTATATCCGCCAAAAATCCATTGTTGGGGCTTCGATTGAATAACAGTGATAGTCGGCTTTTGCCTATCGCATAAACGATGAAAGTGTTTTGCTGTAAATCCATCTCTAGTACCTCTAAAAAGTAGCTTCCATCGTCGACCACTACTTCCGCAAAATTCATCCAGTTTCAACTGTTGATTTGACATCAAGATATAACTATCAAACAATTTCTGGCTCTGGCTTAACTCCATAATCTTATCCTTTTGATTTTTTGCCATTATATCTTGTCTCGCCTCAGTTAGAATACCTAATAATCCTTTTAAGCTGTAAAATTTTGCTTCAGTTATCAAGTCTCGTCGCAATGAACGATCATCAAGTTCTAGTTCTCCAGTTCTAAAATATCTTAGTATGTAGGCAAATAGTTTACCATCTCGATCAATAAATATGCTTCCTTCTTCGTCTTTTTCCAGCTGCCATTGTTGTGAAAATAGCGCTGTGAAAAATGTATCATTCTCTTTGGTAAGTGTTTCCACAGTCGTTTGAAATTTATCTCCACCAACATTTAATGTCACTTTTCCTAAAATTGATGCAGCTGACAACTTCTTTTTGGTTTCTTTCCATTCTTTTGTTTCAATATCCAGATTTGTCTGGATTTCTTCTTGGTTCGTTTTCACAATTATAGCTGCTTCGTTCAATGCATCAAGCTTTTTTACATAATTGTTGAATTTGTCGAGTTTGCTATGAATTTCTTTAAGCTGTTTTCTCAATTCAGATATAAGAGGTTTTACTTCATTGAGTCCATCACGTTGTTTTAACAATTCTTTAATTTCGCAAACATCTGTTGAACATGCCATGCCTAAAATAAGACAATAACTTGTTATGATTCTTCTTACCAGAAACCTTTGTCTATAGCTCCCATAGTCCTTGATATATCTTCACAACAGTGATCAAAATGCACTGAAGGCTATATCTGATGCATACGAAGTTTACATCTCGTGCTGGTTTAATATTGAGGTGATGATCTATGGCAAAGACGTAATATAACACAATTTTGAATTTTTTCTATATTCACGTAAGGCAAGCATTTGCACAGGTTTTACCTAGGCATAAAAAAACTTTTTCGAGCTAGCTTAGATCATTTCCTGTAAATAGACAACGATTCATAGTGGAATATTACCGATACAATTGTGCTAAAGCAATGTGAACTTCTAGAGCAAATACTATCCCAAATTACAGTACTTTTTGCGTTTAAGTGTAGAATACGATTGCATCGATTTTTTGGGTGCTTTTAAACGCCAACAATTTTTTGCTACCATTTAAATAAAGACAAAGAAATATTTGCATCTAAATTCTTACTTTTCTCTTGTTTTTTAAACTTCTTATCTTTTTCGAACACGTGATAATGTTTAGAGGCTTTTTTCTACAAGCCGACTCCCTAGCAAAACTTCCAAAAATATCTTTTATAACAAACCTTATTTATATAAACTTCTCTCACACAGTATATGAATACCAAATAATAAGATTTTTGTAATTCTTCTATTTTATTCTTTTCTTACTTTCTTGTCTTTCATATTCGTACAAAAAGAAAAGACCAAAATAAAAAAAACGACATCAAACAAGAAGGTGAGAGAGAAAAGAAGAAATTTTATATTTTCAAGAAAATATTCGCTACACTTACTATGAAATTACTCTACATTCTATCTACTTAACAGATTAAAAGTAAATTAATCACTATCCGTTCCAAAATACAGTGCGGTGTGCCACTTTTTGAATAACTTCTTACAGAAGATAGATAGAGACCTACGGTTTCCACTGTTAGAAAGACACTTGAGCTCCTCTTTTCATAAGCGAGAGTCAGTTTCAGGAAATTTCCTAACTTGGTTTTCCAGGAGATCTTTGGAAAACCTTATCAGAACTCTCGAAAGTCTTATAGAAACCACATCGTTTTTCTACATGACTTTGTAGTCTAAAGTGTCCTCTTCAAAACGGGAGTCAAGCGAGCTCGTGAAAGTACATGGTCTGGCAGGGGGAGCGAATTTCCTGCAGGTGCCCGCAAGACCGCATTTTTTGTTGAAAATAGTGTGAAAAACAGTTCTATATAGGTAAATGATGGTGCTAATCACGATGGCAACGTCTGCTTCCTCTATCAGTTGCAAATGCTTGAACCCATTTCAACCGTTTTTGCCACTGAACAACCACCTCGGAATCTCTCGTTTCGTGTGCTTACCGCTGCTCAGAGCACCGAAACGCGAGAGACCGATCAATTACCTCGTAATTATCGCACACTTCCATAATTAACAGCCCTTTTGATGCGACCTTGTTGCTAACTCAGCAAAATAGTTCGTAAGATATTATATCACTCACTCATATTTGCCGTGGATCTAAAGATAGCCTAAGTAAATCCTCAAGATTGAAATTAAAGCAAGTTGTACAGAGTACTATGCAAATTCTTATGTGTGGAAAAGGCACTCGTCCACCTGTGCTATGTATTCTATG